CATCGCAACATTATCTCGATCCAGAAAGAACAATCGAAATTGTTCTTCTTGTACATCAGTAAGTCTTTAAACAGTTCTTTTTGGTTTTTGCAAGGGCGGTACTCCCAGGCCATAAAGCCTTGCATATTTTCGAGCACTATTTATTGTATCGTTACTTATACTTAATTCTTTTCTAAGAACAATATATTTAAATTTTAGGGTAATAATTGAAAGAATACGTATTTTACCATCAGATCCTCTCTTATTTGAAAGTAATGCATTGCGAAAACTATCCCAAAATGTTGTATCTTGTGAAGTTTGTACTGGTTGTAAATTTTATGCAGATATCAAAGTTTCATTTAATTGAAGAATATTATTTTTATATAGAGTCTCTAGTAATTTTTTGTCAGAAGTGGGGTTTGATGCTTTGCTCCAGAACTCTATTGAAGATTCTTTTTTGAAAACAGATGTTATATTGATACATCCGCAGGCGGCAAGCATTGACCACCATGCTCACAGATCCTTTTCTTGAAAAATATATTCGGGTGGGTAAATTTCATGCAATATAAGCAGGAATTGAATAACTGAACTTTCTTGTTGATACTACTCATAAAAAAAGAAGCGTCTAGCTAGGCTTTGGATTAGTGATTTTTTGTGATTTTATATAATGTTTAAATATTTTTTCAAGTTGATGAACATTCATCCACTCATTTGGTGTACATGTTGGCGATTCTCTTTTTAGCATCTCTATACGCTCCAGAACTAATTCGTTTGTAATTCCAAAAAGATACGTTCTGGTATATTTTTTATAAATTTCTACTTGTTTCCAAACATCATCTGGGGTTTGTTCTATAATACGATTTACACATATTGATTCTAGATAAATCTCTAACCTACATTGATTTTCCTTAATTCTTAAAAGAAATAGATATTGTTCGCCACGGTAACGCATAGTAAATAAAGAAACGAAACCAGTACCAACTCCATGAAATTTATTTTCGTCTAGGTCACCAATACTTGTTATTACTACATTAAGTTTTTCGATTTGAAGAAATATTGGAAAAAATTCTATATTAGCGATCAACTGTTGAATAATATTCTCATTGTTGAAACCCATAGCAATTAAACCGGAATATTCTGTTCTAGTTTCAAAAATTTTTTGATAACATGCTTTAATTGCTGCCGATGGATGAGATTCAACATCGGACTTAATTGTATTACAGGCACATTGAAATCCAGATTTGAATTTATTTTGGCTATCTGGCAAAACTGTAATAATGAAGTTTTGATTGTTAAGCTTAAATTCCATGCATATGTATAAATGATAAGGTATGATGAAATGTTTTGATTCAGCTTCTAATTTTAAATGAACTGTTTCCCACCAGACTTTAGACCAAATTCTGTAATGCAAGTTAGGGTCTATAATACCCTTACTTAAGATTTTTGTATCGAACTGTCATTTTTTTAACATTTTTTTGCAGATTAAATATATGAGAATATCAAAAATACTACTTGAGTTAAAGTATTTTATATGTTTTTTACAAAAAAAGGCACGAAGTGTGTATAATAGACAATATGAGATAATTTCGGCTCTCTTGTATTGTATAGAAAAAATAGCTTTATTTAAAGAATATTTTAAAACTCAAAGGTCTTATCTTTTTAGAAGAATGAAATTACAACTCTTTTATATCTTTCGGGGTCATCACAATTAAAATTCAAATAATTCTATTTTAAGAATGATGTCAAACTAACTCTTCTGAATAGAAAACTTAATGATTAGGCTTTTTATGATATGAAAATAGACTTACATTCCAAAATTCTTTTTTGTTTGTGATGTAAAAATGGACTTATATTCCAAGATTTTCTTGTTTATGACACGAAAACGAATTTACATTTCAAGATTCCTCTCTGTCGAGTAATTACTAATATCAATGTATTTTTAACTTCCACTTAGACGTTCTATTCAGAATTTCATTGAGCTATCCTTTACCATCATACTTTTTCTAATTCACGATTTGTTTATATCCACTACTTTTTATTTCAAACTATCTCTTCTGAATAGAAATTTTGATCCTGATAAGGCCTTCTACAACTCAAAAATAGACTTGCATCCTTTTGTCAAGTAATCACTAATCTTTAAGTTCAACATTTCAATTATTTTAATATCATCAAACACCTTTTCTTCATAGACTTTCTAAATCGCGTTTTGTTTACGTCCACAGAATTTTCTATTGCCAGTCTTGTAATAATCTGATGTCGATCGTTCTCTTCTATCACAGTTTCTGAATCATGTGTTTTGCAGTGCAGCTAAAATCACACTTTCTCACCTATAATAATGATAAGGTTATGGGGTTTTCTACTCTCTTCTTATTCTTCACTATATTATAAACTGATTCGATAAGTAACTGAGTCTGACAATACAAGCAAACTTACAGGTGATTATAAATTTAACATATGTATCATAAGACCGGTCACTTTGAGTACCCATACTTACGAATTCTTAATCGATTAATACAGGCATTTACCTTATAAGTGCAATATAAATCTCGGGCGTTATTTTAAAAATATACTCTTCAAATATAGCATATATGGTTTCGAATTAGCCTATAGGCATCTCGAATTAACATACATTCTAATATAAATAGTGATCGTATCCAATTTGCTAGCTGGATATATGCATCAAGGAGTCTCAACATTTATTAGTTTAATAAAGTGAGCTATTCAGGTTTGTGAATACTTACTATTTATTAGAGTTATGACATTATTAATCTAAGTATTCAATTAACCGCAGGTGGGCATTATTTCACACTTATACGGTACAATGGAATATAGAAATAATGTAAAATATATTAAATTTTGTAACAGTTAACAAATTTATAATTTTGGCAAATATTAGTAAAATTATCGATTGACCCGATCAGTTGATGTGAGCATGCAGTTTGATACAAATTCAGAATAGGCATTATATAAGTAAAATTACAAATATATTTATTTCTTTAACAATGCTCTAATGAATATATTTATTTACTTGACATTAGGTAATAAGTATGTATGCGAAATTTTACTACTATAACTAGAGGTGAGCGCCTTTATAAGTTTAGTAGTTTGAATTGAAATTAATCTTCTATGCTCCAACTGGAATCTATAAGTCTAGTTACCCAAATCAACTGATCCTGATTATTGAAATTTTAATCGAGATATACATTACACCGAAAAATAAGGATCTGTTGAATTGTATTCGTTGCAATAAACACATGATTCGATAAATTGTTGAAAGATAAGTATTCTTTATTCTACTAATATCACTGATATTAGCTTAATTCATTTCTAAATTTTTACAATATTTTTATCCGGTTCCGATCATTTCACCGACAGTATGATTCGCCAACAAATTCATTTTCACGATTTACAAGTAATATGGGTAATTATTTTTGAACCCGGGCCAATTTTATATATGGCGTAATAACATTTTGGTCTGAATTCAAAAATAATTACCCATTTAGTTTGTATTTTATTTTTAGAATATTTTTATTTTTATTAAAAAATAAAAAATAATTATTGGTAGAACCAATAGTACCTTTTCAATTTCTGGTAAGAGTCGACTTTGGACACTGGCGCTAAACTAGGGTAATACATCAAAAATATAATTTCTAATTTTCGATTTTAATTCGTAATTAGAGTTTAATCGCTGCTATAATATTTTTGTGCGACACCTAGTTTAATCTTTGGTAAATATTTGCGCCAAAACCATTTCTTTTTAACACTCTAGGAATCTTATGCTTTTCTCTGAAGATTAAATGACGATCGTTGTAGAATTTATTATTATGGTTCGTTAGCAATTCTTTAATAATTGTTGATTCAAACATGTTAAATTCGATTTTTTTTTTAGAGTTTGGCACTAGGTGTTTCAGTGGGGTTTAAAATTTTTTGTTCATGTACGATTACTGAACATATGTGATATGCTTTTTTATTCATGTTAGAAATCCG